CCATGCCCACTGGCCTCGAGAATCTGCACGCGTTAATGTTACACGGTAAAAGGGACTTTGCACATGCAATTTCAGACCTTAATCTCCAAACTGCTCACTCAGGCCTAGATTTCATCTCTGTCCCAGCCACTCCCAGTCCATCCACAGCAAGAGCTAATCTAAGCTTCCTGATGACCAAGGCCACTCTCTTTGCCACTGGCCAGCACAGAGCTTGTGAGTGACATTTTGCTGTGACACTCAAACAGGTTAGAACCTACACTGCCTCAGAAGGAAACACCCGTCTTTAACCAGACATGCACTCTCAGATTGGCAAACACGGAAAAACCTAATGATTGGAAACTGAGAGATTATTTCAAAGAACTACTGGAAACTGCCCAAATCAGAGATCTTCTGTCAGTGCTATTGCTTCAAACTAAGAGGCAGAACCCAAATTAATAGATGACTCACCAGGACTTTTAGCAGCCAACAGAGGTGTCCCCTGAGAAATGCAATAAATCCAATATTTTTCTCTAAAACAATCAATGTGTTACAAGATGGCACCTAAGGGATGCACACTATCCTCCACTTCTAGCTCATCATCGGTGTAGCTCTCCTAATTTTTATCAAAGCTGAATGCAGCTCTTTCCCAATTTTCTTATAGCATATTTAGTATATGTGCTCTTACCAGGCCTACTCAGAGGAATGGCGCTTTTTAAAAAAAAAAAATTTTTTTTCTTTTGTGGTACCGGGGATCAAACTTAGGACCTTGCACTTGCGGGGCAGGCACAGTGCCACTGAGCTAAATCCCAGACCCTAAAAAAAACTTTTTAATACTATTCCTCACAGCCTACAGTCAACCAAAAGTCCATAAAATAAGTGTTATAGTTTAGATATGGAATGTCCCCCAAAGGACTCATATGTTCAGAGGTTGGGATTTTGGAAGGTAACTGGATCACAGAAGCAATATAGCTGACTTTTTGTTAGGAGGTAGAACCTAGTAAGAGGTGGGTCACTGGGAGCATGACCTGAAAGACTATGTTTCTCTCCTCAGCTCCTCCCCTGGCTTGCCCTGCTTCCTGGACACCCTGATATGAGCAGCTTTCCTCCGAGCCAGACCCTTCCACCATGCCATTTCTGCATTTGAGCCTGCCAACCACGTACTGAAACTTTTGTAACTGTAAACTAAAATAAACCTCTTCTCCTTTAGGTTGTGGGTGTCAGGTATTTTGTCCCAGCGAGGAGGAAAGTGACTAAGACAGTAAGTTGAATATGTCAAAGTAAAGGTTTCCAGAACCAACAAAGACATCAATAAACATTTAAGTGCTTTCTAAGGACAGGGCCCTGGGAAGTATAAAAGAAGCAAGCATGGATGGTCCTTGTCACTACATGTGGCTTACAGTGTCACTAGATATATGATCAAAACTAAAAATAATCTAAAAATTATGAGGTCATGTGCAGAACAATTGTTTCAGTCACTCAAAGTAGGGAGAGAATGTTTATAGCTAGGAAGATAAGAGGAAAAGAGCTTCGCATGGGAGCTGAAAAAATGCAGGCGCTGTAGAGATGATTCCTCCAAGATGGGACATTTTCTTAAAAGAAAAATCTAGAAATTCCACTTGCAAAACCTCTCTTGGCATACAACTCCTTAAGAATTGAACAGCACCGTAAAGGAAAAAAGTGAATTCAGTTTCAAAATTAATTTCTGGGGAGGGGGGGGAGGGGAAGGAGATTTAAAAAAAACAAGTTGTAATATGTACATGTAACTACCTCCAAGATGACTGTAAACTGCATGAATTGCAAACATGTACTAATAAAAAATTAATAATAATAATAATAATAAATAATCTCTGGGATTCTGAATGTAGAGTCTGCTGAAAGTGAAAGTGACTAGGGCTGGGGATTTAGCTCAGTGGTTCCGCTGCCTACCTGGCAAGCACAAGGTCCCAAGTTTGATCCCCAGTACAAAAAAAAAAAAGACGAAGAAAAGAAAGTGACTACATTTCTGGACGGTTCTGGGTGCTTTGGTCATTTCCATCCAGCCTGTGCCCCAAAGGCTGAGCTCACCTGGGGCGGTTTCTACCTACTACTGGGTCATGTGGACGTGACTTGGCACCTTTCTACCCAGTGCATAAGCATAGTACAAGTTGCAGAGCTGTGTTTAGATCCCCATTATTAATTAACAACTGGCAGTGTTCTAACACCAGCTAAACCAAGTCTCAACTCGGTTTAGTATCTGGCAGTCTTCAGTTCTGTACCCTCATTCACCAAGACATATGCAAAACAATGTTCCTAGCAGCACTATCCAAACCACCCCCAAAGTGAAAAATAATTATTTATCAACAGTTACTGGATAAATAAATTGTGGAATACTCATATCATGAAATACTACATAATGAGGATGAATTTGACAAGCACAGTCTTGGTCACAAAAAACACAAAAAATAGCATACTATATTCTTCTACCTATATAAGTTTAAAAAGAAAAAAAGTATCAAGAATCAGAACAGGGCCGGGGATTTAGCTCAGTGGTTCCGCCACCTGCCTTGAAAGTGCAAGGTCCCAAGTTCCATCCTTGTACCAAAAAAAAGAACTGGAATCCTGAGGGAAGAGACAAGTTGTTATAAGGAGCATCTACTTTATGAAAAGTCATCGGGCTGTACAGATTCATAATAACACCTTCTATATAAATGCCTTATTTCAATGAAAACTGTCTACTTTGTTAAAGGATGAGCAAATATCATTTTACAATTAAAAAGCAACAGTGTGGGGCCAGGCATTTAGCTCAGTGGTGCTGCTGCCCGCCTGCCTCACTAGAGCAAGGTCTTGAGTTTGATCCCTGGTACCAAAGAAAGAAAGAAAGAAAGAAAGAAAGAAGGAAGGAAAAAGCAACAGGGTTCACATTCATAGTTTTTGTTTAAATTTCTTATTTATGTGTGTGTTCATTTTCTTTAGTCAATAATGTGTACTATATTTAGATGGAAAATCAATATATTCCCTTAGTAATGTCATAATATTAAACAAAGGAATTTATTAATGCTAAAAATAAAGATCTCTGCTTTGCCCATGGATCAGGGATGATTTATTACCCCATTTCATTGGTCCACATAGATGAGGAAGGGAGGATGAGGAAGGGAAAAAAGTGAGTGGGGAGAACTTCAGACTAAAATTTCTGGGGGAAAAAAAATCAGGGTCACCAGAATATATTCTAATGCTGCCCAAATGTTTGTTAAAATTTTGTTACAAGCCAAGGGGCAAACACTGTATGTCCCTGGCAACTCACTCTGTGAAGCTCAGGGTCAGGAAATAGCAGATCAGTCTGTGGACAGATTCTGGCTGAGAGTTCTAAGCCCAGCAAACCACTGTCTGCTCCAGGTACTGCCCATCTGTAGCACTAACTATAGAAATTCCTTCCTGGTCAATAATGGTAGCACACATCTTTTCTGCAAGTGAGAGAAAGCAGAGAGCAGAGAGAAAACCCCTCTTTCCTGCCCTCACAGGTCAGGTCTCAGGATGAACGCTCATCCACGTAGCACTGGAGGTCAGAGTTTACTAGTGACTGAAACTGGGGAGGAAAAGAGCAGTCCTCCGGGGAAGCGCCTTCTTACGCAGGTACAGGATAAAGCCTGGATGCCACAGCCTTGCTCGGGTTCCTCTAGCGCGGAGCGCTTCTCAGCGGGTACAGCCAGCTGCGGCAGGCAACCTTGGCAAAAATTCAGGCGATAGCTTGGGCCCCAGAAAGTCAGGCTCCGGCGCTTGAAAAAGGCAAGGTGCTCTCCTCTGACACCCTCGGAAAATTGTCACCTGTCAATCACTTGACCTAAATACACCAGTCACTGGGGGGAAGGAGGGAGGGGGGTTAGTCGGAGCATGCTCAGTGATCAGGATGACATCACTTAATCAATGCTGGGGACGGGAAGGCTGCATCAGCAGCCTGGAGCGGGTTGCCAGGAACGTGTCAGCGGGGACTGGGAGGCTCGCATTAACTTGCTCCCTCCCCACGCAGCTCGCATACAAAGGGGGCACCGTCAGCCACACAGCGGAGGGTCAAGGAGGGGGAGGGGGACAGGACTGGTGTATTTAATCTGACATACTTCTTTAAGAACTAAAATCCTTCCCCACCCCCAGCAACCTGGGCGACAGAGGGAGATCGGTTGGGGGAAGGGAGAAAAGGTGGGAAGGGTGATCAAGAAGGAGGGGCCCCTGGTCACACAGAGTAACTTCTGCTCTAGGCACTGAGGGGCTATCTGGCTGCGCTCTGCGCGCCCTCGCCCCACAGATGTAGACACAGGCTCCTTGCCACCCAGCACCGAAGCATATCCCACGATCCGCGGACACCAGGTGTCAGGGCGCTGGCTGGGGTCGTCCGTGCCAAGAGGGCACTTATCCAGGGCAGCCTGAGGTGACCGGAAGCTGAAACAGACACCCCAGGCCCCCCGGGATCATCCAGCCCACCAACATTCCCTTCCACCCTCTACCTTCCGCGCGCGGAGCAAGGTGATACCTCGTGGGGCATCGCGTCTACGGGGCCACAGGAGGCCCGAGCCCGGGCTAGGATATTTCCCTACACTTCTTTTTTCTTCCTCTTTTGCTAAGGTCGTGAGAATAAGAAACAAAAATGTTCGACAGATCGAACTGATGCCTAGAGGCGATGGTGGGTTTCGGAGCTTTCTGCTTTTAAAGGGAGCCTGGGCACCCAGGCTTGCGGGGAGCCCGAACACACCACCCACCGGGTGCCGAGTGTGGGAACAATAGGCCCACCCCGGCCCCCACCCCGCGCACAATGGCGGATCGAGTCCGTCCTCGCCCCCAGCCCGGGGCCCGCCCCGCGTCCCCAGCGGCCCCTCCGCCAGCCTGGGAAGGAACCACGGGGCGAGGCGAGAGGGCCCTTCCGCGTGTCCGCGTGTCCGGCCGGGAGGGAGCCCCTGGGCCGTCCGAGGGGCTGGCTCGAAGGTCTCCGCCCGGTCCGGGCCGGCGGGGCGGCGGGCGAAGCAGCGGGGAGCCCAGACGCGCCGGCCACTTACCCCGATCACCACGGTCTCGTCGCCTTTGAACTTGGGGATGAATTTGTCCCCGCGGAGAATCTCCGCTTCGTTGAGGGGCCGGAACCTGCACATCACTTTGATGCTGCATTCGGCTGGATCCGCCATCGCGGCCGGCTGCGGGGAGGGGCGCGGGGATGGGGGGCCGGGGCCGGCACGACTAGGGAGGAGGCCGCGCACCTCCGCGCCCGCGGCTCGGCCGCCTCCTGGCGCCTCCCACCACGCCCTCAGCAGGGCATCGCGCCTCGGCGGCCGGGCGACCGGGAAGCTGGGCGGCCTACAGCCCCGGGCCCGCCAACTGCAGACCTGCTGCCCTGGCCCGGCCCTGAGCCCCGCGTCCACCTGCCGGCAACCACGCGGCGGGCGGACGAAGCGATGCGCAGGGAGCGAGCCTCGCCCGGCTCAGACCTCCCCGCGCTCAGCCATCCCGCATCAGCACCGGCGCGCTGGCCGCCTTCGCCCCGCCCCTCGCCCCGCCCCTCGCCCCTCCGGCCCGCCCCGGGACGGTGACGTCACTGCAGAGATCCGCCTGCCCCGCCCGGCTGCGAGCGCGGGCCTCCCGGAACTTGTCCTCGCGGAGCTGCAGGAGCGAGGGCCGGGATGCTTAGAGTGGGCTTGTGGCGACAGCGGCAGTGCCTCAGAGATGACCTCGTAGAACTGCAGGTCTGCTCTAGTGCCCCAGACAAGAACAGGATAGAGTTTATATCTAGTATTTCCAGTTAAAAAGCTCTATAAATAACCAGGTTCGTATCATGCCTTCACATATCCTGATCCCACGGAGAGGCAAGATTTTAAGACAGTGTACAGTTGAACAATTATTGAGCATTGTATCTGTGTTGAAGAGTTTTGAAACAGCTCCGGGGCAAGAAAGGAGGAAATGAAATGTTGATGTGTATTTTGCAAAGCAAGTTATACCTAGAAATACCTGTACGATATTGTGAGTAAGAAGCTTCTTTAATAACGATGAAAGTTAGCAACCGTTTCTATAGGAAAAACCAAAAACCCATATGGAGCCCACAGGCTTAGCCTGAGTATTTGGAACAACTCAGCCTGCCTATGAATCCCAGTTTTTAAGAACCTCTCAGTTGCTATGAACTACAGACCTATCTACAGAACTTCTACCTATTGCTTATTTAGGACCCTACAGAATGAACAGAATATATATAAAATCAAGTCCAAAGTTCTTTACAGGATATGCCCAGAGCCCCTTGGTCAGATTTGTACCCACTTTCAGAATTTCATCTCTTGATATTTCTGGTATTGATATTTACACTCCAACAGTTATAGTCTTAGTTACTCTTCTTGTTGCTGAGACAAAATATCCAACACTCAAAGTTAAAGGAGGAAAGGTTTATTGTAGCTCACAGTTTGTAGAGATTTCAATTCATAGTTGGCTGGCTCCAAGGCAAGGTGGCATGGCAGACGGGCATTACAGAGGAGAAACAGTTCATGGCAGGCAGAAGGCACCAAAGCAGCAAAGTGAAAAAGAAGCGGCAAGTGACAAGCAACGACCACAGCAGACCTCTTTGGGTCCCTTATAGCCTATCCAGGCCACTCACCCTTAGGGCAGGGTGACTGTATCACACCCAGGGTGGGGCACCCTTAATCCTAGCATCACACCATGAATCAATCCCAGCATCACATCCTTAATCTCAGCATCACACACTCTGCATACAACCACCTCCATAAAGCTCCACCTATGACCACATGAGGCTTTGGGAGGACATCTAGATACAAGCCCTAACAGATTCCAAACTTCTTCTGACCTCCTCCATACACCTCTTCCTCTGTTTGCATCTGATATTTTGTTTATATTATTTGATCTCCTGAAGTCGCCCTTTCAGTCTCATTCTGTAAGTGTAGTAGGGCTCTTAGGTAGAAGGTGATGGAAATTCTACTACAGACACTGAGGCCAAAGGAGAACTTATCAGAAGAATACAAATTGATCTTCTGTGTTCAAGAAGTGGCTAAGTAACCAAACCAGGAAAAGGACAGACCGTTGAGACTCTGATGGTCTGCTCTCTCTACGTTCTGGCCTCACTCTTTTTCACTCAAGACCATTCCTAACGCCTAGCTGCCAACAGCCTCAGGGTGTTATCCTTCACCTTCTCCCACCAGGTAAGGATAAATGTTTATTCAGAACTTTGGTCTGAACAAAATCCGAGGGAAAGCCTAGGAGCCCAGATTTAGGTTGGTATCTACCTCTAGGCCAATCAACCACAGCTAGGGACTTTGTAAGATCCAGTTAGACTACCGTGGCGGGGAGGTTCCGGAAAGAAGAGGAATGCTGCTCCCGGAACGGGGTGGTACAGTGTCAGCAGAACGATTGGGTGACGCTCTACCTTTCCAGCGCTATCTGTCTTTCCCTCCAAGATTCAGCTCAACCTTCCTTCCTCAGGAAGATTTCCTGGCTTTCTAAACACACAGCTAAACTGAGTGGCCCCCTCTAATCTCTTCTATCTCTATTACTACCCTGGGGCAGTGAAATCTGCCTCCCTTTTGTGTGAGGGACTTGCTACAGAGTGAATGGTTAAACTGCAGGGCAAAAGTACACAGGCTCTATGAGCGGCAAATGGTTAAACAAGTTTAGATTAGTTAGGCATATTGTGTCTGGCTCTTATCTTTCCCTTTTCCCCAAGAAGACTGCCTAGTCTTGAGACAGCTTCTTATCCAAACTTTTTCTTCTGCTTTTTCACTCACACTGACGTTCTAAATAAAAGCTGGAGAATTCTCGGCTTGGGGCTTCTCCTGGGAGTCTCCCTAATGCTGTGTGCTCTAAGTTGAGACAGCCCCTCTGGGCCCACTCAGTGACTGAACTGAGTCTTGTCCCTTTGAGTAGCCATTCATTCTGTATGCCGCAATACATACTGTGACTCTATCAAGCAACTGGTAGACAGCGTGCTAAAGAAGGAACCCATCATAGGAGGAATCTGTGACATATACATGGTATAAGCTCTTAAAATTTTAAATATTATTGTTATCGTTAAGATGCTTAAATCCAGGTATATCTGGAAATACAAGTACTCTGTGTACCTGAGAAGGTAGACCCACTAAATCGAACTCCTATGAATCATTGTAATACCAATCTGATTTCCTCTCCTCAAATGCAGTGAAAGTATATTTTAGAAGGCTTAAGTAGCCTGGTGGCACAGGTGTATAATCCTAACCCTTTGGGAGACTGCAGCAGGAGGACTGCAAGTTCAAGCCAGTCTGGGCAAAATAGCAATTCAACAAGACTCTGTCTCAAAATAAATATTAAAGGGGAGTGGGTGGAGGGACTAGGGATGTAGCGCAATAGCTCGGTGTCCCCTAGATTCAAGCCCAAGTTAAAAAAAAAAAAAAGTAAAAAAGACCCAAGTGCCACATTCTTATCTGTTTTCACACTAAATAGTTCTCAGATGTGGTCTCAAGATCAGATGCTATGGTTTGGATGTGGTTCTTCTCCTCCAAAACTCATATTGAAATTCAGTCTTCAGTGTGAAAGTGTCAAGAGAGGGTAAGACCTTTAAGAGGTGATTAGATCATTAAAAGAGATTAATGCCTTTCTCACATAATGGAACTGAATTAGTTACCGCAAAAGTGGTGTCTTAGTTACTTCCTCCTTGCTGGGACAAAATACCTGACACCCACAAGTTAAATTAGGAAAGGATTATTTTAGCTCACAATTTGTAGAGGTTTCAGTCCATAGTCACCTGGCTCCAAGGCAGAGCAGCACGGCAGAGGGGCATCACAGAGGAGAAACAGTCCATGGTGTGGCAAGCAGGAGTCAGCAAAGCAATGAGCTTCCTTTCCCTTTTTATTCTATGCAGGCTAAAAGTCTGTTTGTGGGCACCACCCATACCCAAAGTGGGTCTTCCCATTATCTACACCCAGAACTGCGCTAAACAAATCTGTGGGCTAATGTAGTTATCATACCCATAATCCAGTATCACACACCCATGATCCAAGCATCTCCCAAAAGCCCCACAACAGCATGAGGCTTTGGGGGACATCTAGACATAAGCCATAACAAGTGGTTTATTGTAAATCAAGTTCAGGTTCCTCAGCTCTCTTTCTTGTTTTCCCCCTCTCTCCATGTGATCTCCTCCACAGGCGTCCACTTGCTTCTTACACTTTTCCACTGTGTACAAAACAGCACCTGGATAGGGCCGGGGATTTAGCTCAGTGGTTTCGCTGTGCTGCCTCACAAGCGCAAGGTCCTGAGTTCAATCCCCGATACCAAAAAAGAACCAAATAAACAAAACAGCACCTGGCTTTCACCTGAAGTCAAGCAGATGCCAGTGACTTCCAGGACCATGAGCTTTAGACTTAGAACCCTGAACCAAACAAAATCAATTTCTTTATAAATCACCCATTATCTTTTTCTCCTTTTCTTTTCTCTGTTTTGGCACTGGGGCTCCAACTCAGGACCTTGCACTTGTGAGGCACGCGGCGGCACCACTGAGCTAAATCCTTGGCCCACCCATTATCTTTTTTAATCCATTCATCACTTGACAGACACTGAGCTGCTTTCACCTTTTGGTCATTATGAATAATGTATTTTATAGATTTTATATAGCAATGGAAAGCAAACTCAAACAACTTTGTAGTTTAGTGGAGAGGATAATCTAATAGCAGTTTCTCTGGGCCCAGCAGGGGATGCTCAGAAGTTTATCTGCACAGATTTATCTGAGGAAGTCAGCTGCACAGAAAACCTGGGGAAAACAGAGATCGGCCTGTATGTCTTACTCCTCCTTCCTTCCTTTGTTCATCTGTACATCTTTCAGCTATCAACTGAGCAGATGACAGATGATTTGCTAACACTCTATAAGTTTAGATTTGTTACTTAATAAATCCTTTCAAGGCAGTTACCTTAGGACTCCTATCAGAAGGGACATTACCAAGCAAGTCATTGCCCTCAGTGACTTAGAAACAAGTCCATGTCCAGAGGATGAAGTGCTTTGTGGTGTCTGAGAAGACTTAATAGAAGAATAGACTAAATAGGTTTCAAAACAAAAATTTTAAAGAGTCACCAAAAGGTAAACAATAGGAGAAGAATTGATAAATTTAACTACCTCAAAATTAAAGATTTTTGCCCATCAAAGAGTACCATCAAAAGTCTGAAAAGACAACCCATAGCATGGGAGAAAATATTTTCAAATTATATATTAGTAAGAGGGTAGTATGCAAAATGTATAAAGCACTCCTATAACTCAC